TGAGCGTTAGCTGTCGTACAGAGCTCAGCTCAGAGCTTAAACGCGTTTTAGTCTTACCGCGCGTCTGCATGCTTAAGGTTCAGGTTTTGGATACGCAAATTCCTGCGCGGAACCCTAAACCCCTAAAGCCCTAAAGCCCTAAACCCGAAGCCCCTAAACCCGAAACCCCTAAACCCCTAAAGCCCTAAACCCCTAGAGCCCTAAACCCTAAAACCCAAAACCCCTAAAGCCCTAAACCCCTAAAGCCCTAAACCCTGAACCCCTAAAACCCTAAAACCCTAAACCCCTAGAGCCCTAAGCCCTAAAGACTGAGGATCTGAAGATTGGGCGGTTGGGAATTGAACTACTTACGATTTTCAAGCCCTAGACCAGGACCCAGAGAACCCAATACCCCTTAACTAAGGAATATACCTGAAATTAATAAGGGCCATAATGTTATGATTTAAGGTATATTCCTTAATTTAAGCGGTATTGGGTTCTCTGGGGACCCTCCTTGTACCCTCAACTAGGGGTATATGGTCCCAAGTAGGGGGTATTTGAGGTCTAATCGGGGGTATATGGAGGGTCTAGGGAAGGTTAGCTGGGCTAAGATTCGAGGACTGTTCGGCGCAATAAGGGGTCTCAATAGTTACCTGTGCCTTGTTTTTCTTTTTTGAGGGGGGGGGAAGGGCGGGGGCAGGGGTTCCTTATTATAAGTATAGTACAATGGGCCCCCAAACCCTATTCTGAGCATGCAGGCCCCGAAGTTACGTCTTGAGTTCAGGGGTTCTGTCGGTCCTGGAGTCCTCGCGATCCCATGAGTGTCAGTGTTGATTAGCAATGACAGCACCATGTTATTTCCCGTCGCTTCTACCTACAGTTTCCATCGTAGTTCCTCTGTGGGGTTACCATATAGGAACTTAAGCATGTTATAACGCCAGCAAAACCAAAAAGGTTAAATAAAATGAAGACTAGATGTATGGAGTTTCTTTCCCAGCCTTCTACCCTATGGCCCTATGAGCTAGCAGACACACTTCCGCACACAAACAGCTTTGCTCGGCATAGTATGCCTGAGATAGGGTATTCAACGGATCATGGACCCGCGTAACTAAGGTTATATGTAAGGTAAATCGTAGTTTCGACATACTGAGAACTTGTAGTTCGACTCAGGGACATACTAGGTAGATTCCTACCACAATGTGCATACGGGCTTGCTCTCTGTCTCTCTCTCTCTCTCTCTCGCGTGCTGTGGTTTTGGGATATGTATATATATATATATCTAGCTATGTATGTATGTATGTATATGTATGTATATGTATGTATATATATATATATTGTGCGCAATAATTCTCATGCAACCCTAGGCATAAATTTCTCTGTCGTCATGCGTAAACCTCCATTTCTGGAACTTGGCTCAAGGCTCCAAGCCCGTGGCTGTGGATTGTATGCTGCATTGACTCCACCTACGGCTACGGTTGATGATATAAATCCTGCATGACCCATAATAAGGAATATACCGTAATTCCCATAGTTTAGGGTCCTTAAGGTAATGCAGGATTTATATCATCAACAGTATGTTGAATTCCAGCTGCTTGCAAGCCCCTGAACCTTCGCGAACCTGGCGACCTCAATGCGTTCACTAAACCAGCCCGCTTAGCCTTTAGGGTTTAAACCCTACCTATGGCCTAGGGTTTAGGGTTGCACCTTGAACGGACACCCAAACCCACATTGCTGGGTTTCCGGGCTGACGACTGCTGCTTGGCCACACGACAGGCAGGTCTTGGTAATGCCTAGGGTTTGCGTATGTATAATTATAACTATATATACATACATATTTATATTTATATATGCATGTATATATGTATACATGTGTTATATATATATATGTCTACACAGTTGTGTGTTTGTGTTTTAAAAGACGGTTGTTTGGGATTTGAGCTTCAAGGTTAGGGTCATGAGGGTGTGAAGTCAGGGAATCAGTAGGGGTGAGGATAGCAAGGCAGCTTTCGAGGCGATGACGACATGCTTTGTGTGGCAGAGGAGCATCCCCGAGAACTTCCTCTGTCCCCATTCTTAAACCTATAAACCCTAAACATTAATCCAAACGGCCCAAACGCATCTGATGTGCAACGGATGGCTTAAGTGGCCGAGTCATTTGTGACCGTGCGGGGCTTCAAGGTTCAGGGATTGCGGAATTCTGGGTTTCAAGCACGTCAAATCTCGCAGCCTCGGGTCTTCTGGGGCCTGTCTTTGCAGAAGTATGGCTCGAAGACTTTGTCATTGGCCTCTTGCCGGTCTAGAAGACCACCGAGTTCAGCAAACATGAATACCACGAGCGCCATGGGTCCGTGTCCGGGTGTTATTACGAACGAGATCATCCTGGACCCGTACGAGAATGTTGGTCAGTATGGGGGCGCTATATTTGGAGCAGGACTTCCGGCTCTCTTCTTCCTGGCTTCCTGGGGTTTTAACTGCTGTCGTGTCATTGAAGATGACGAAGGCGGAAACGCAGCCGTGGACAGCTGGCCTGGATTTTGCTACCGGATTCTCTACACTGGCTACTTCGCTCTCTTCACCGTCTCTTTGCTACTGCAGCTCCTGGCCAGTCTTCTGTCCTTGGCGGGTGAAAACATCGAGCTGCTCTTTGCCCGCGTGCTTGTGGTAGTGGCCACTGGCTGCCGGCTGCGCCTGGGTCGATGTATGAAGCACTGTATCACTACCCTAAACCCTAAACCCTTTGTGGGGATTAGGCCCTCTAAACCCTAAAACCCTCAACTGTATTATTTGTGGGGCTTAGGCCTTACAAGCCCTAACATCCTCAACTGTATTTTTTTCGGGTTTAGGGTTGAGGGGTTTTGAATGCTTTCATGTGTGAGAGATCCTTACTGTGAGGAAACCTTCATACACACCCGCAAAAGAAAACCCTTACATATAGAGGCCCGTGCCCCTTATAGAAGGTCACCAAAGAGTCTGAAGAAACCCGAATCGACACCTTCAGAGTGGCCTCGGAAGTGGCCCAGGTGTATCGGCGTCGGGGTAGCTGAGAAGCTATTTCCGAATCGTCTGTGGATCTTGGCTTCTCGGTCTTCTTACTTAAAGGTCTCCTTGACTGGATCGATTGGAGTCTTGAGCGCTGTTGACAAGGGCCTTTAATAGGGATTACAGAAGGGATTCACAAGGCGTTTTTTTGTATGAGATTTGTCTACGAGTTTTGTAAAAGTGTCTTGAAGACCTTCCCTAAGGCTTTTATAGGGTTTCTTCATCAGTCATCTATGGAACCTACAGGGTTTGCCAATGGCGTCATCGGGATTTGCAGGGATTCAATGGATTTTCGAAGCGTTTCATGTCCGAAACCCGAACCCAAATCCGCCACCAAAGTGTCGAATATTTGGGTACTGGGGTTCAGCAAATAGTAACGGTAGCGTAATATCTACCGGAGATCAATCACGACAGAGTCGTATGTGTCATAAGGGGTCAAGGTTTGTGGGGGGGTTCCTAAACCCTAAACCCTGAACCCTAAACATTAAACCCTGAACCCTAAGCCCTGAGCTTGGTCAGCTTCGGGGTTGCTTCATATTGCTTTGCATCTGCACTATGATCATTTTGCATCTGCACTATGATCATTTTGGGACAAAGCAGTCGCAAGCGAAATCCTACACCTCTCCTAGCCTAAGCCCCCCCCGAAACTTACAAATCCAACTGCTAAATATTTGGTCCCTCCCCCCTCTCCCTTAAATCTAGAAGCCCTGAAAGTGTAAGTGGCTCTATAAGTGCCTCTATATTGCATGATACTTTGCCTTAGGGCTTAGAGTTTAGGCTTTGCCTACAGTCTCCATTGTAGTTTCTTCTTTTGGTTAGGCAGTTTAAGGAAACAGGACCCGAACCATATAAGACGTGGTTCGCCAAAACCAAGAAAGTATAATGGAGAGACTATAGGTACGCCACATAGCAAAACCCTAAACCCTAAACCCTAAACCCTGTTTAGATAGGGGAAAAAGCCGGCCCAGGCTTGGATGTCCAGTGTCGGATTGACATTGGGTTTCGCCGCAATCGTCGTGCAGGTGTCCGATGCCTTCGGTACGCAGGAGCTCCTGCGTAGATGTTGAATCCCACAGGCTCCATGTACCCATACAGTCACAGTATATACATAGGCCTTAAAGAGGTTCCTATATAGGTACTTTAGGGTCTAAGTATATACTATATGGGCACATGGAGCCTTAGGGAACATGCCTTTTATCTAGGCCTCCAACATGCTTCACAAGTCTGTAGGTTGGGGGGGCTAGGGATCATAAAAGGGCTCTTTCTCGTGTTCTGCTTAGTAGTCAAAGAGGCAAAGACCAGACTGCACGACATGTTTAAGCCAGTTCCCCGTAAACAAATTGGGCGATTTTATATGGCCTGAGGCTCTTCCTTGGGATGGAGTTTGATCTGGACATTCATTGCAGTAGCTATGTGGACTCTTTGGGAAGACGCAGGAATGCAATGAGGCACCCCAGTCCTATGTCTCAGGTACATGAGCAGTAAGGCTATAGTTGGACAATCCTACTTCATGGCCGACCGTCCTGGGTTGTAAACCGCGATCAGACCCTAAACACTAAACCCCTAAACCCTATAAACCCTATAAACCCTAAACGCTAAACCACTAAACCCCTAAACACTCAACCCCTAAACCCTATAAACCCTAAACCCTATAAACCCAAAGCCCTAAACAATAACCCTAAACCCTAAACCCCTGGGTTCGACTGGTATCCGCAGGATCCCGGGGAGCTTGTCGAGGCGTCGGCCGTCAGCGTCGCCTACCTCTGGATGATTTTGGTTTGGACGCTGGCTTCGTGGAAGAACCCGAAGATCCGGCCCTACTTGAAGATTAAGGCTCTAAAGTCACATAAAGAAATTTTTATAGATAAATACATAACTAAATACATAAAATAAATAAATAGAATACATAAGTAATATCTATCTATATATATATATACATGTATTTATTTATTTGTTTATTTATGTATCACTCTCTCTCTCTCTCTCTCCCTCCTTCGCGACAGGGTACATGCACCACATAAACGATTCTCAGGATCATCCATTTAACATCCGACAGTCCTATCCATCGTGAAGAGCAAGTACCTTTCAGCTCTAGAGCCTGAACCACCAGGACCCTCGTAGTACCTTCAAATAGGGGTATATGGTCCCAAATAAGGGGTATATGGAGGGTCTAGGCAATCTAAACCACGAAAGCCTTTTCACTTAGCCTAAACCCTGTCGAGGTGCCTGCATGCGTTGTCTTGATGGCAGCATTCTGGGTTCGCGCACTTTTTGAGCCCAGCTGTGGCCCGCGAGGTGTAGGGTTTAGGGTATAGGGGTTCAGGGGTTTAAGGTTTAGTGGTTTAGGCATTTAAGTGTTTAGAAGTTACAGGTTTAGGGGGCTTTGGGGTGTGGGGCTTCTAGGGGTTTAACCCTAAACCCATACTGTAAACCCTAAACCCAAAACCCTAAACCCAAAACCCTAAACCCTAAACCCAAAACCCTAAACCCAAAACACTAAACCCTAAACCCAAAACCCAAAACCC